AACTGTTTACAAAGTAGCTTTTGAGTGCTGTATAATCAGTTAAAATATGATGGCTGGATTCAGCTACTAATGGTGTGTGTCTGCTCTGAAATGACCTCGCTTGTTTGGAATTTATAAGTTCGTCTGACTCGTTATAGATCTGGTCATCTGAAGGAGATAAGAATGTCCTTAGAGCACAATTTAACCATGCGATGCAAATCAAGCCTAGTGTGTCTGTTAATACGCACCAACATACACATTTTTTTTGTTTTGTTTGTTCAAAGGCAGTCTGTGGTTTCACAGATGCATTAGAAGTATCCATCACCGGATAGCCATCAAGACACCAAGAACAATGGGACTACTAAAGTAAGAAGACGGGCCATCAGTCTAGTGATGATTCCAGGCTTTTTTTGCTTTACAGCAAAGCAAAATATAAGGTTTGAGGGCACTCAGACCAGCTGCAGGGATTTCTTTTTTAATTACAAAATAGCTCAAATTCTTCAGGGTAAATTTTGTTCTAAGAGTAACCTGTTAGCTGGAAAATTAGGAAGACTCACGTCCAAGAGTGAGTGCACCTTTTAAAGTTTTAAATCTAGAGCGCCACATAATGCAGCTAGAAGCAAAGCCTTGCAACCAGAAGCTAAAGACTGGGACCGCAGTGGGAGGTGGAGCTGAGCAGGGGGAAGTATCTAGGTCACCACGAAGATGAATAAACCGCAGCTTGGGTGATGTTACAGCTTTGTATACGAGCATGTGCTATGGTTTGTGTAATGGATCATGTGACATGTGTGGCTCTTGTAAAAGTTTTACTGCTCGGGTACTTCAAGGAGAAGGTTAAAGGTTGTAAGATTAATGGATTCATCTCATTAACGGTGTGTCATAGTAAGAAAAGGGAGCTTACACCAAGTTGCTGAGTGATGCCAAGCTCAGTTGCTGTTGCTGTTGCTGCTGTTGCTGTTGTTGCTGCTGAGAGACTGCTGGTTGCTGTTGCTGTTGCCAAGCAGCCATGTTGCCAGGCACCAGCCCCGGTGGCGTGAACGTCTGGAGCGCTGTGAGATCTGCGCTCGTCAGCTGGTACTCTGAGATTAAGGGATGGAGGGGGAGACGCAGAGGGAGAAAGGCAGAGAGAGGAGACGGAGAGGAGGGGTGAGGGGGATTGTTTTACATCATACAACTTTCGGGTGCATCAATATTAATCAGCGCTAATCCATATTAATGGAGACCTTTGAAGTAGAATCACTCCAGAAGCTCTCACACAATGAACAAAGTGAATATTCATAGTGGTTTGTGGCATCACACTACAAGACTTCCAAGTTTTGCTGCCTTCCACAACTCACCAGTGTTGTAGGCCGTCTGCATGCCGGAGAAGGGCGCTAGGAGACTGGGTGTTGCCACGGAGACCACTGGTGTGGTGAGTGGCTGTGCCACCTGGGAGCCGCCTAGCCGTTGAGCATTCTGGGAACACAGAGAGATGGATAGAGGAAGCTGAACATTGGGGCATGTGAAGTAGAAGAAGTGGTTCTAAAAACAAAGTCTGCATTGAGCTACTGACAAGTAGCAAGTTGATTTTCATATGCAACATTTCCTCTCGGTATAAACATCTGCAAGTCTCTCTCTGCACAGTGTAGTTAATCCATGCTAAAACACTTGCACTGTTAAATTCATAACCAAATCCTTCTGATGTTTTTCATGTTGAGGAATCTCTGATAAGACACGCAGTATTTGAAAGAGAGGGTTTGGTTATAAATCTCAGATGGATGTTTTAGCCAGAATGGTTTCATAGATCCAGTGTTGCGGCTCCATGTCGTGAGAAAACCTGGTCTGGATCCACAACAAATCATCTCTTTTTCTCCTTATATGGACTGAGTGTAGAGGTTCACGGCACATGACTTCATCCATTTTCAACGGCAATAATGATAATGGTTAGCATGTGCTTTTCACTGTACAGCAGAGTGGATGCAGAGACTGTAATGTACCCAAGGTCAGCTACTACTTAAATAATTTTACTCAAACCACAGCTTGCTCTACTTCTATTTCAAATAAAAACAGACACATTATCTCCTGTATTCTACTCTGTGCTTTACAAAGTACAAGTGCAGCAACTCTAATTAACTTCCAGCTCTGAGTTTTACTGACACTTTAGAGGTTTTATTAAGAGACAGAAGCAAAGAAAACCTAATAACTAAAATCTAATATAATAAACATTTAGTTGATTTCACTTGTGCCTGCGCAGGGCATTGGAAGATTCATTATTCATCATGCCACAGCCAGAAGCATATCTGCTTCCAGGAAGAAAATCCAAGCACCTCAGTTCTCTCTGAGGTGTTTTAACTTTTTCTGTGACACTTTAACATCGGCGTGCAAGATGAGAAATGTCTCGCATCTCAAGGTGGCGTTGGCACGGCAATGCTGTCGCCAGGGCCGGGTGCTTGTGTTATGTAGCATCACGGTGGAAGGTGTTATGAGAGGCATCGCTGTGCCGGAGAATCATGCTGACAGGAACGCATGCATCGACAAGGCTGACAGAAGAGAGACGAGAGGGGCTGAATGTGTGTGTAAGGACGTGTTTTTATTTAGTGTGTGCATGTGTGTGTGTACAGAAAGGAATGCGAGGCATGAATAAACAATGTGAGGTGTGCGTTTGCTCTGAGGGGTGGGTATTGGTATATTTATGCAAGGAAACACCCGTGAACCTGTCAACATGCGTGTGTGCGTGTGTGTGTGTGTGTGGACTGAAGAGGTCAGCGTATCTGAGTCTAACACGTCCATCTGTGTTCCAGGTTGGAGACTTTGTGAGCTTTCCTCACTCTGATCCTCAGAGCATCGACACTCGGATGAAACCAAACATGCACATGCTGAGCAGCTTTCACACACAGCAGAGAGTCAGGTGGTTGCTCCGGTTCCCTTGACGTTTTCTCTCTTCAGTCTATTTGTGCTTCACAAATGTCACTTTAGGCTAGGCTCAACTGTCCCTTAAATATACACATTTTAAAATTCAATTTGCTTTCAGGTTTTCCTTCGCAATAATTCGCAATAATACTCCATC